AGGGGGGGGGGGGGGGGGGGGGACCTATTTTTCTCATTTATAAAGGGCAGGGCTTCTATTGCAAGTTTCCATTTATTGTAAGTGTAGGTCTTATACTGCAAGTTTCAACAAAACATTGTATTGTTTTGTGGTTTAAAATTAAGCTTCACAGGACTATTTTCTTTTAGATTTATGAGCCATTAGCATTTCCACCTGTGCTTATTTAACCTTTTCACATGGGTGGTTGGCGGGTGCTGATGTGGTTTGCTTTTTCTTTCCTATCAAATGTCTATCGTCTTTATCTCCCCTCCTTCTTTTTTGTGTTTGTTACTCCCTGGTAACACCTCTAATCTTCGGGACTTATATGACCTTATTGTTTTGCAAGTGCCGTAAAACACTTACTAAAATTAACCTTTTCACATGGTACATCACCAACCTTTCTCCTTTTTACCCTTTCAGTTGTCATTTTGCTTTGACGTGTGTGATGCTATCTTGAGTTGTTTTATCCTCAGATGGTACGGAAGTTGAGAAAAGTGCCATGCAGTTTCCAGCAATTGAAAGAATGCTGGCTGTAAGTGTTATGTTAGCAATACGTTGGTCTACTTGCATATTAGTACTGTGCTTTGTATTCTTACAAGTTTGTCTGAAAGTAATCATCATCATCATCATCATCCAATGCCTTGCCGACTGGCGTGGGCGATCATGGACCTCCACTTCACTCTGTCTTGCGTTGCAGCAATGATGTCTTGTTCTTGCTGCTCCCAGCCATGTTGTCATCTTGTCCAGTATCTTTTACCTCTGTCTACCTCTGCCTCTCTTTCCATTAAACTCGCCTGTTGTTACAATATTCTCCAATGCTTCTTTCCGCATTGTCTGAAAGTAATATACAACTTAAATTTTATGTGTATCTCCCTGTTTTTAGGACATTCCGTTACATCCATGAAATATTTTCCCATAAGGATAATAAAGTATAATCTTATCTTATCTTTATAAACTTATCTATCTTGTCTTATCTTACTCTAAGGTGTGTACTCTAATCTATAGGATAACAGTAGTTCTCGCTCAGGTCCACCAAGTAAAAGTACTGTTTCTTTAGGAATTTTACCCATGGCTTGAGAACTGTTTCCAATCGTATTGAGATTTTGGGTTGTGTTCTCCTTGGAAAATTGTTCCAAATCAGGAAATCGTGGTGGAAGAGAAGAGGTTTCCCCAACTTTTACATGACTTTTATGGAGTTGAAAGGAGCTGAAATGGCGATTAATCTATATATGTATATATCCCCCTCACCTCCTTTGCCCCCTCCTCTGGGCTCCTGACTCTTTCTGCAGCCTTTCTACCGCTACTCCTTGGCTCCTCCTAACTGCTGTCTTTCTGCCACACCCCTGATCTTCTGGTAGGAAAGATCTACACCTAGCCTTCTCGGACAAGGGCGAAAAATCTCGGAGGGCCCGTGTGCAAGTTGCGCAAGTTAAAGATCCCTTGGTGGTCTAAAATCGATAAGAGTAGGCTTCGGCCGCCACCCGGGCAAAATTCAAAATTTCCTACCAACGAAAAAGTATTAGGTGTGTCCCGCGCGCTCATATGCAGTTGCGAGTGCCGTAAAACCCTATACTAAACAAACAAACAATATATATATATATATATATATATATATATATATGTAGCATTGGGAGTAATGCTTACGACAACAGCAAAAACAACAACAATAACATCATGACTTGAGAAGAGATACGCTGTTATGAAATATAGCATTGATAGTGTGTCAAAAGTAGTAGCAACAGCCAACAACAACATATGACCTCAGAATGAATCTGATGTTACAATATCCGCAGGCTATTGAAGCGAAGAAAGTGTTGGGTAATTACGACACTACCTACTTCTTGAAAGAACAAGTGGACGTGTTGAAGGGGAGGAATGAGGAACTTCGTGCGACGCTGAGAGAAACCCGAGTGGAAGCGACAAAAGCTGCTCTCGAAAGAGACAAAGCTTTTGAGAAGGTGAGTCAGCACTTATTTTGTTTTCTCTTTGTGGTTTTAGTGCTTTTATTTTCAAGATGCTTTTTTTATGTTGATATGCTAATATTTGTTTTTGTTGTTGGTAGTGTTATTATTATCTTTATTTTTATTATATATTATTATTATTATTGATGTTATTATTATTATTATGATAATTATTGTTTTTACTATTATATTTTCAGGTTTTTTTTTCAAAATTATTATTGTTATTATTATTATTATTATTATAATTATTATCAAGTCGAGGATATTTTTTTTTCTTCTTCTTCTTCTTCTCCTTCTCCTTCTCCTTCTCCTTCTCCTCCTCCTCCTCCTTATGACAATTATGCTGATGTTTGTACAGATTGAGAAGCTGGAGAAGGACACCTTCCTGCTGAATGACTCGGGCGGTGGTGCCGGACTCTTCAATGCCATGAAGCTTCCGGAAGGAATGGCCCCGTCCAGCACTGAAGTGATAGCCAGTCTCAACGAACATCTCATCATAACGCTGCAGGTAAAGTGTGTGTGTGTGTGTTTGTGGGGGGGATCTGTTGTGTGCATTGGCTGTTCTTTCTTTATCTTTATTGCATGTCAGTCACCTTTCTAGTGTGCATAAGGATGGTTTGATTGCGACTCTGATTAATTCTACTTTTTTACTTAATTTCATGTGTAGCTTTGGTTTGTCTGTCTTACTGTCTTGCTGCCCTAAATGCCCATTGCTTCAAAATAGGATGTGCCTTATAGATTCTATCTTCCAGTTTTGACAGTGTTCATTCTGCCTTTGCTTTTGTTATATGCAAACTCCATTTTCCTTTTGTTTGAGACTCTAAGTTGTGGTACAGTAGTTTGGCACTTCAAAGCTATGGCATGTAGTAGACCCGAGTTCAGTTCCTGAGTGGGGTTAATTTTTATTGAATATCTTGGCTGTTCTGCTGGGGGTGTTGATTTCTGTCTCTCTGGGTTGTCCTTATAGGCAGGTTTGAAACTCACCTCCTAAATGATCTAAAATTTGTTGATGGGATGAGAAAAAACTATTACAACCAATAACTTAGTCTATATAGTGTGCTGCAAATAAAACTTATATTCCACCTCAACATTCGTTGACTTACACTGGCAGCTTTGATTGTAATTTTGATCAGGAACTGTCGCAGAGAGAGTCAGTGATGAAGAAAATGGAGACTTCGCTGGAGAACTACAAAAGGAAGTATGCAGTGATGAGACATCAACAAGGCTTGCTGTACCAGGAGTACCTCAAGGATAAAAAGGTAAAAATTATTGTACAGATATACTGGCATTGTTGTAAACATAATTGGAATCTGTGGCCCTGCATTACAGGGTTTTTTTTAAAGAGGATTCATTCATTCTTTTGTTTGTGTATTGTTTTATTTTATTTTTTTATTTTTTTTTACAGTGATGATATCGTTAGCAAGCTGTTCAAATGTTCTAAGCCCAGAAAGCAAACTTTCAGGATGGAGAAATTCCACTTCATTCTGTTAACACTTGTACCTACATTATGTATCTTTTCTTGCTTTTCTCAATATTTAGAATCTGAATTTGACAAAATACTTCTCAAACACATGCAACTGTATGATCCTTACTCTCTCTCTCTCTCTCTCTCTTCTGGCGCTGTGGCTTCATAAGCGGTCAGCGATGCCGACAGCACGCAGGAACTCAACACTCGCCCGTTGATCCTTACTCCCCCATTACTAATACCAGACTTCCCAACCGTTCCAAATTTCCAGGTACTTACACCAAAACCATCCCACTTGTATTTGTTTTTTTTGTTGTGTATTCTGCCATGATAACTTTGCTGTCCCTTAGAGGGTTATGAAAACTTTGGCAAGCCTGTAATACTATACTTGTTGTTCCTATCCCTAGGAATGGCAGGAGGAGATGGAGAAAAAGGCCAAACAACTGACAGAGCTGTCAGGTCAAAAGCAGGAAGATTTGGTCAGGATCCAAGAGTTTGATGTAAGTAATTTCTATATCAGGATGGAATGCCTTTGTGGTGTGGTTTCTGTTTTTTCCCTTGTGCATTCATATGTGGTTGTAAATAATCTTTGACTTGCCATTTTTTAATTGTTTTCATTAAACATTTTTTTGCATTCAATTGAAGTTATTTTTGTTTTCCGTCAAAGTTATTTCTTTGTGAGGACCACGCAACCAAGACTTTATCACTTGAATGAGTTATATCACATGGACAAGCAGCATTGCATGTCCTCTGTTTTTTCTATTTGTCTGTCTTGCTTCTTCCATACACTATATGACCTTTATAAAATCGATGTGCTTCTCGTTACTCAAACACCTACAAACTCGAAGTTCTTTTTCTTCTTCTCAGCGTTTGGTTGAGACCCTAGCCCAGGACGACGTGGAAGTACGACGGCGGCTGTCGGAGATGACACGTCGGATCACCGTGCTGCGGGTCAACGAGAAAGCTCTGACCAGACGACACACCACCATGGAGGAAATCGAGTCACACCTCCGAAAGGTACAGACGAGCAAGAATGTAGCGAATTTGTATCGGGTTTTTTATTTGTTTTTTTTTGTCAGCCTCATGATTTGCACGAGATTTTCTGGTGAAAGATGTGTTGTCTTTGATATTTTAGATGAATGCCTTGTGTTTTATTGAAAACAAAACATCCTGAGTTTCATCCTCCCCCCTCCCTCCCTCCCCATCAAAGAAAAAAAAAAACAACCACTCACGACAAAAAAATAAATGGTCCACAAACAAAACAAAATATGCCACATCCAGCTATATTTTGACATCTCCCAAGAGTCATCCACATAACTCATTAAGAACCTAATTTTTTTCTTCTGTTTTCCCTTCCAGGAAAATACTCGACTGCGTACAGAAATGAATCACATGGAGATGGCTGTCACAGAAAGAATTGGATACCTTCAAAGATACAAAGTAAGTGCGCTCGTTTGCTCTAATAGTTAAAGGATAAAGCAAATTGGACATTTTTATTCATGACAAAGCTCATCCTTAATCCGGTTTGTTTATTTAGTGAAGATTAAATATATTCTGAATGTCTCCAAAGTAAAGTGTTGAATCAGTTTAACGTTAATTTCAGTATGCATTGAATGTCCCTCAATTAAGGACTAAAGAAACACTAATATTGTGGACAATACAACAACTCACATGTAGTCTCTGCCAAATTCTGTACTTTATAGCTCATGGCTATTTATTATACTATTTCCTTCTGTCAATGCGAAAAAGGATCTATGAATCTCAAACAGTCATTTTTGCTACTGGTTTTGTTTTATACTGTAAGATTTTCCGTACGTTCAGGTAAATGCTCATGTGACAATAAATTATTTGTTTTTTACAAACAGTCCCATTGTTGACCTCAGCCTGTATCTGAAGCGCTTTGTTACAAATATAAACAACACTTTTATTTTCCTCAAACCTTGACTGACATCTACAGGATATGTCGGCTTTTAAGATAGCAGCTCTGCAAAAAGCCTTAGAAGATTCTGTCCCTGCGAGTGATCTGGAGAAAGTGAACAAACAATATCACAACCTGACGGAGAAGTACCGCGATATTCTGGAAAAGGGGAACAACTTGGTGTCGAAGGCTGAGGCTTTGGAAGGTTTAGAGGTAAGCTGCTGATTGTTTTGACTTATTTCCAGTCTCTCTACATTTATTCTGGGCCACTACTCTCCGTATCTGTTCCTGGTGAAATGTGGCTTTTATTATGCTGACTCGACTGCTGTAAGGAAGAGAGGTGGACCAGAGAATATATGGCATGGAGAGGTGGCAGGGGTTACAAGAAGGTTGTGACTTGTGTATGGACAGCTAGAGATACTGGTCCAGGTTCAGAATGTTTGGAAAGCTCTTGTCGGCGGTCTGTATCCCAGACTCAGGGATGTGAACCTTCCTGGCTTTTTTCTTTTTTTTCCGGCGGACTTGCCATTTGGGCCCCAGCTTTTAACAAAAGTCTGCTATAAACAATACATATTATATGCTAAATAGAGATTGTTTGCTGTAATAGAGGGAAATAAACAAATATAATTTAGTCTCACTGTATTCTTATTTCAGTCAGTGCACATGCCGGAAAATATTTTCCGGCTTTTTTTTCAAATCCTGTTTACATCCCTGCCGACTGGATCATAGGCAGTGATTGTGACTGCCATAATAGTTTGTTAATATTTGATGATGACCAATGTGGAGAATATTTTATAACGAAAGTAGAAGAAAGGTTAAGAAGATTTAGGTCTTCTCCTTTTGCCAGTGGAATGATTCTAATTTTGGCAGAGAAAGAGTTTGTAACATTTTGAGTATTTAAAAGCTTCATCTCCGCACGTGGATGTGCATAGCTTGCTGGCTTCTCTCTCAACATCAACATTTGTTATTCGATACAATAAGTTGTCTGAGGGTGGTTGACGGGTGCTATGGTGTTGTTTGCTCTTTCTTTTCCTGTGAAATGTCTGTTGTCTTTTTCTGTATTTCTCCTTCTTCTTTTCTTTGTATGTTACACTCCACTAACACCTCTAATCTTCAGTACTTAAATGACTTATTTGTGTGTGTTGCAAGCACTGTAAATTTTGTACTAAAACTATACTTATGAAGTTGCCATTAACAACAACTAAACATAATAAATTTTGATTCTTGTTTTAAAAAAAAATCCTTCAGGCTGAGATCAAGCAGCTGACACAGGACAATGAAGAGTTGAAGAACACTCTGAGCATGGAAAAAGAGAAGCTGCATGCCTTAGAGGCTGCCATGGAAGAGCTTCATAGAAGAGGTAGATTGGCTACATGTGGCCCTTTTCCTCGACTTTCTTATTCTATCAAGTGACTTTTAAGATTTGTTAGCTATTTCCCTACCTGCCAGTAAAACCTCTCTCTCTCTCTGTCCCCCTCCCCTTAAAAAACAAACAAACAAAAAAACCCTCACACTCACAGACACACACTTGTGTCCCTATTGACTTTTTCCCCCCTTTGCCAGTGGCACTCTTCTCTTTCCTCAATCTTTCTATCAAATAATTCGTACGATTTATTACTCTTTTTCCTTCCTGTAGTGATTTGAAAGCATTATTGTATGTTAAATGATCCTGTCATTATGTTAGCTTGAGAGTCGAAAAACAATATTTACTTTATTGTGAAGCGGCTCGAGCCACTAGAGAATGAATGCTATAGATGTGATCGTTATTATCATTATCATTATGGTTATCATTTTTAGCATCTCGTTCCCCCTCTGTGGGTGGTTGGCGGGCGCTCTGGTGTGGTTTGCTCCTTCTTTCCTATCAAACATCTATCGCCCTGATCTCTCCTTCTTTTTATGTTTGTTACTCTCGTGTAACACCTCTATTCTTCGGCAGTTATATGACCTTATTGACATTGCAAGTGCCGTAAAACTCTTGCTTAAAAGAAAACGTTCCCCCTCTGTCCCCAGGAGTGACAGACGGCAGTGAGGTGAGCGTCACGGACGGGGACATCATCTCCATCTCCAAGAAGCTGACCATGTTGGAGATGAAGGAGCTCAACGAGCGGCAGCGGGCAGAGCACGCCAGTCGCATGTACCAGCAGCAGCGCCAACTTCTGCAGGATCTGGAGAACCGCAACTCCGAGCTGGAGGAGAAATTTGCCGGTGTACGTCAAAGAAAATAAAATAAAAATACTATGGAGAAATTTGCCGGTGAACGTCAAAGAAAATAAGATAAAAATACGATGGAGAAATTTGCCGGTGTACGTCAAAGAAAATAAAAAAGAATAAAATACAGTAGTGGGCAGCTTAAACCAACTTAGGTTAATCTGTAAATGAGGGTAAATAGAAAGAAAATAGAGTCCCTGATTTTTTTCAACCTCTTTTAACCAAAACACAGGTAAACTAAAGAAAAATCGACGGTCCCGCATATTTTGCTTTGAGTTGATTTCATTGTAAAATAGAAATCTACCTTTATTGATCTCTATGAGGAAAATTGATTTACACTGGCTTACCGAAATGAATAAATCTGTGCAATCATTAATCAAGTTGCAAAAAAAACCTCAGTGTCTCACCAAAACATACAAACAGCACACCATTTGCAGTTTGCCAGCAGCTGTTGATTTAATTCCACGCCCTTTTAGGAAAATTTAGGATACCATCGACCAGATGTTCAGAACTAAACTTAAAATTATGAAAATTTCTTTTTATGCAGTTTCTTAATTTGTGGTATCTGTTGCATGTGTTCAAGAAGTAATTTGTTCCAATTCAAATTCTAAATGTTCAAAAAAGGAACAATCCCCCCCCCCAAAAAAAAAAAACAACCCCAACAAACCCCAACACCTCCCCCCCCCCCTACAAAAAAAATAAAAATAAAAAACAACCCATAATGTAGGTGCAGTTGTTAAAAGGATGAAACCATTTTTTCTTTCTCTTAAAAAATATTGCTCTTTTTCACTTAGTACATTTGAACAGCTTACTGAAGGTCTGATGAAATTAGAATGAGTTCTTAAGTTATCTCTGAGTTGAAGTTGTATTCATTCTATAGAAATGGTTTTTGTAGATCTGTCATTGCGGCTATAATTTTTGCTGCTTGCTTGCTTCTTTTTTTTTTTTTCTTCTGCGTCTTTCTTTTTCCTTTATTTTCCAATCCTCACCAAAGTGTTCCTCCTTTGAAATGACCTTTTTATGTCTAATAGGGCACTGAACTCTTATGATACCATCAAGTGCTCATATGCAGGCAAAAATGTGACACCTAATGTGGGTGGTTGTAGGGCATTATTTGTATGTCCTACTTTTGTTTTTTTTACCTTCATTGTTCCTGTCTTTTTGTATTGGTTTTCCCGATACCAAATGACCGTTACTGTGTTGATGGGCTTTTGTTTACTCAAAACAAAACCCTAATTTGCTGCTCAGCGTCAGCTGTGATTAAATTATTCCTTTGTCGTACTTTCCTTCCAGGTAACAAAAATGAATTTGGAAATGCAAAGTACAGAGAGAGAGCTGAGAGATGAACTGAGCAGTGAGTTCGTCTTGAGTGCTTTTCATATATTTTTGCCATTCCTACATGCTTCTTTCTTTTTATTGAAGTCTTCTGAGCAGTCCGTTTAGAGAGGTGGTGAAGTCTAGGTATAATACAGTCATGTTTTCCCCTCTGTGTTACTAAATGGTAATTGTGTCCTGGTAATTGTGTGGTTTTAACACCTTTTTGAACATTATAAGATTATTTAAGAAGCAGGGCCATAGAAATTTATATTCAGCTCTGATAAGATGGAGTCAAGTATATGGGGAGCCAAAAAATCCAAAATTTAAGAACGATCCTTTTGGAATTTGAGTCTGGATCATCAACAGTGCTTGCCAGTCTGGGCGATGTCACTCATACATGTGCATTTTGGACATTGTTGTTGGTGGTTGGGATCATCCGGATAGTGACAGGTGTTATTTCATGCCCCACTTTGAAATACACGTTAGTTGGGTGTTATAAAAATGTTATCCTCTTGAAGAAGGCAAAAGTGGGTGCTGGCAATGAAGAGGTTGACAAACACTAATCTACTTCATAGCCCAGCTTAGTATCAAGTGATCTAATGGTATCATGAGAGGAAGTTTATAGAGATAAGAATCCATACACTCAGGTTTCAATATTTTTGACCCAAGATCTTTTAATTTATGGTTGGAAAAGGGAAAATATTATTATAAATGATAATTTTCCCGAATCTCATCGTCAATGAAAATAGATTCTAAACTTTACTTTTTACTTCATTTTTCCTCTTTTAAAACTTTTTTTTAGAATAAAGTGACTGTACCTTCATTTTAAAAAAATTTATAAAATGTTAATTTTCTAAGAATGCTGTCACAGTATATTTATTGTTTGTCCTCTGATCAGACTCAGTCACAAAAAGTGTAAGTGATGCTGACCGCAAGCGGATTGCTACCCTGGAAGAATCTGAGCTGACCCTGAAGCAAGAGATCTCCAAACTCAAGGTAACATTTTTCGCTTTTAGTGGACGTTTGGGGTGGGCTAGGGGTGGTAGGTGGGTTGTTGAGTTATCCTTTCCTTTGAGCAGTGTTTGCGACCTTTGCTGCAAAATTTGGACAACTTTAGATTTTCCAGTGTAAAAGTTGTTTGACAACACTGTTTGCTTGGGTATCAGTACAGTCTCAGTTCTTCTTCTTCTAAGCTTTCACAGTTGTTGTTTTTTCCAATTTTTTGTTGTTGGTGTTAATACTCTGAAATTAAAAGCAAAAAGAGCAAAGTGCATTCTAAACTCATAACACGCACACACACTCACTCACACACACCCACGAACACACACACACACACACACACACACACACACACACACACACACACACACACACACACACACACAAAAGAAACAATGAAAAGATTGTTTGGCACTAGCTTTGTACTTCAACAGTCTTGACTTTTCTTTCCACCACCATCTGTGATGCAGTGGTGAGGTGCTTCACCGTTGCATGCAGAAGGCGTGAATTATATTCCTGTTTAGCGAGAATTTTGTTGAGTATCTCAGGTGGTCTGCTGGGATGTTGTATCCCTCTCTCCCTGAGTTGGCCCTGACAGGCAGGGTTGATGCAGCCTGCCTCCAAAATGATATAAATTGTGTCGATGGGGCTTAAAACATTGGCAATCATCAAAATCCGTTCTTTTCAGGAAATTACTGAGGTCGCTTCGACACAAGTGAAGACTCTAGAGACTCAGAATCTCTCTCGGGAGAAAGAATTTCATTCCATGAGACAACAGCTGCTGGACTTTCAGGTGCAGAGTGATGAGAAAACGATCATAGGTAAGTCTGTGACATTCTTTGGCTTTTGCAGGAAAAGAAGTTCCCTAAGTATTGTAGTGACAGCTTTTGAGACATTTTAAAACATGTTCTTTTCAATTTACCTTCTTCTTGTGAGATAAGGCCCGGTTGTGTAGGGCACGAACCGATTCAATACTCCCATGGTGACAGGTGACTGGTGTTCATTGTGTGCAATAGAACAAACACATTCTGTCTGTTAAGCAAGTATCCTTATCTCTCTACATCTGTCCCAGCTACCACTTACACTGGTGCAGTAAAAACTTTCCAGGTGAGTGGTTGGAAGCCGTTCTGGAGTATTTTACTCCTTCTTTATTATCAAACATTTATCTCGACTCCTTTCCTTTGTGTGTTACTCTCTAGAGACACCTCTAATCTTAGGCACTTATTATCCTAATTGTGTTGTAAATGCATGTAAAACTTGTACTAAAAGAACAACCCCCCCCCCCACACTGAAAAAAACCTACGACATTTCCATGAAGGTGTGTGGTTTGCTCCTTTCTTTCCCATCTGTATTCCTTATCTCTACTTCTTCTTTTCTTTGTATGTTACTCTCTCGTAACGCCTCTAGATGCATGATACAAATGCCGAAAGACCTGTACAAACTTTTTCCCGACACGTCTGTGGTTTCTGTGGCCAGGCAAGCTTCACCGCCACATCGTCCAGCTCCAGGTGAGCGAGGGCTCGGCGGTCAAGCGTCTGGAGGAGGCCCAGAAGAAAGTGACCAAGCTGGAGGCCCAGGCCCTTCGCATGGAGCAGCGAGTTGACGACAAGGACCAGACCATCTACCACAACAAGCAAGAGGCGCAGGGCAAGTCCAGGTACCTGCGCCGCTCCCTGCAGGTGAGGTTTTATGTTTATGATGTATTAGGCTACTCTTTCTCTTTGTCCTCTTCCTCCTCCTTCTCCTCCTCCCCTCCTCAATTTGTTGTTGTTGTTGTTGTTGTTGTTGTTGTTGTTGTT